GCATTCAAAGTGATCTCGCGAAAACAGACGAGTAGACATATTATGGTGGTAAATGGAACTGTCCACAGCGGTTGTAAAACTTGTCTTGCTCGAGGGATTACGGTAATTGAATATGACTAGGAGAGCTCATAAATATCGAGTCTTACGGATTGAAACTACTCACAGAAGGAAATGATTGTTTGGACTCAAACTCCGCCGCCTTTTTAGCACTAAGGCGATCGCCTGCACTGAGAATATATTTCCTTGGTCCATAGCGCTCGACGTCTAGGCCCTTTAGGAGTTGAAGCATTTCACTTGTGTGACCTCCTATCATAAAGAATAAGGACCCCGTGCACGTATGACGAAAGGCGTATACCTGAACCCAAGAACACAGCCAGACGGCAGCTTTCCCTATGCGATAATACTGGCTTTGTATTCCATTTGAGTACTATAATTATTCTGATAATAAATATGCCAAACGAACCAGAAAAGTCGGTGTGACAGGGAAATATGGAACTCGATACGGTGCTTCGTTAAGGAAGCAAGTCAAAAAGGTGCCGATCATATTTACTGGAGATTTATTTGGGAAGAAATATGCTTATTTTATGGTGTAGATGGAAGTCACCCAACACGCTCGATACACTTGCACCTTCTGCGGAAAGGTAAGCCTTTCATGGCTTTTGAACCAATTTCAATGCTCATTTAATTCATCCGATATTCTAACTCCTCGTTTCTACATTAGGATTCTGTCAAGCGAACAGCTGTTGGCATCTGGCATTGTCGTGCTTGCCGTAAAACAATCGCTGGGGGTGCATGGACTGTTTCGACCACAGCAGCTGCGACTATCCGCAGGTATGTATATATAAAGCTATTTGAGCAAGTTTCTTATCAGATCCTACGTTCAGTACCATTCGTCGTCTGCGAGAAATCACAGAGGCATAAGTTCCCTCCATCGTGCCTAGCTTCTGGTCGTTTATTTCTCCATGTCCATATGTTCTATGATAAACAGCAAGATATGCAATGTCATAAACATTCAAACCCATGCTTTGCTGGATCGGAGTTTCAAGTTTCTATATAAGTCAAACAACGATAAGATACAGATACTACTATGACATACTACGATGATGAGATATACCGTGATGATAGATGAAGGTTACGAGAATACCTTTATCCCTGGATTGGTCCCAGGCTCATCAGGACTCTCGGCATCAACTGGTTTCTCCTCTTCTTCACTATTGTCGTCGGACTCGTCTTCGTCTTTGTCGTCTTCTTCCCCTTCCTCCTCTTCGTCATCGCTTTCTACAAACGTAAGAGGTATAAATTCGTCGCCGCCTTCGAATGTGTAGTTTACACCGTTCAAGGGAAGCTGTGGAGGGTCAGTACTACTGAGTTGTGTGGGGGCCTCTTCATTCTCTGCAGGTTTGTTTGGGATGTTACGTGTTGTGGTTGCTTTGGGAGGACCAGTCGTACTGTTGGCGCTGTTGCCGACGTCTCGCTTCCTGTTTGCACGGATGACGTGTGGCAATTTGCATTTTGGATTCTTGCAAACCCCGTTCGTCGCAAAATCTGGACATTCACGTATATGTGCCTCTTCACAATCGATACCTTTCTCGCAATAGCCGAGCACGGCAAAATCCCTGCACACAGAGGGCTTGTTCCCAACTCGAACATGCGGGTAGAGACAATTGTCTCCATTCTTGCATCGTCCATTATTCTGGAAGTGAACGCATGGGGGAACACGATTAAGAGTGGCGGAGTGAGATAATAGACATGACTCGGCGGTAGAGGGACATTCTCCAGCCAAATAACGAGGGCAGATTGCTACTTTCTCTGGGTCGTGTTGATATCG